TTCACTGCAGAGGATCCACTGGTGAGCAAGTGATGTAATGCTAAAGTTCTTCAAATCCTTTGATGAAGAAAAACTCATCTACGTCTTGGATGGCCTGCAGGTGAGAACAATTTCATTTTTTGGGTGAACTATTGCTTTAACCAAACTGGACACACACTCAGATTGTTTGTAACTGGCATGTTTTATTTGCACTTGTTGATATATTTGTATATATTTATGTCTTGAGATTTATTCTCTTCACATGTTTTTTTTTTACTTTCTTTGAAACAACAAGATTTCATGCACAATTTTTTAATATTTGCATAAACAGTTCGCCAAACACCAGACAAGCTGTTTCAGTTTTATTTTGCTCAGTTCAAATTTGGCACGATCACAAGCTCAAGTTATACACCAGTGCGCAAATAAATTTTTTTTTAGTCAGTCATAACACTGACACGTACACACACCCACGATATACTCTTTTACTCCCACCTAGTCAAAAAGAGCTTCATGTTATCGGTGTACACATAGACACACATCAGCCTAAGAAATGTAGCTGAAGTTCTCACCAATATTAAACAAAAGTAAAACACAAACCTGAAGTCACAGACTTTAGTCGTAAAGGAAAGTGCAACACGGCATAATGTGCTGTAAAATAAATGCATAATTTATAAGAATGAACACATTTTTAGGTAATCAAAAGCTCATGTAGATTATGAGACAACATCTCCAAAATCTTTCACCATGAATATTTCATATTTTTTGAGTAAGGAACCTATATAAGCTCTCTTATCTTGTCTTTTGTTAATAAATTCTCATCATGTATAATAAAACAGATTAGTAGATATATTTTATTTATACATTTATTTTCATGTCTCTTTATTTATCCCCATCTGGCTCCTAGGACTCCACTGGAACACTCTGGCTTGATTTGAGCGAACAGTCAAGTTGCAAACATTGACTGGATTTGCGGGAATAGTCTAGCCCTAAAGACTGACTGGACTTTCGGGAGTTGCACGGGTCTTTCCAAGAGTCAAACCCATCTTTGGTCCGGACAGCAGCCAGCTTGGTCAGGAGGGTGTTCCTCTGGATGCTGCTGTCCGAGTCCTCTTTGTGTAATGTGTTTTGGGGTTTGTTCCAACAGGGGAAACAGGCAAAGAAGTCATTAAGGAGGTGGCCACTGAAGAGCATGTAGATCCATGGGTTACAGCAGCTGTTGAGACTCGCCAGCAGGGCAGAGAGGGTCACCGCTGCATTTTCAGAATCTGAAAAACAGGAAGATTGAGTGATGTAGCCTTGTGGTTAAAGATTTGGGCTGGTAACTGAAAGGTTGCAGGTTGAAACGTTGCAAAGGTTGATGCATTCACAGTTATGGGAAATGAAGAATAAGCCCGCGTGAATTGGTCAGACTAATGAACTTTCATAAAGTATTTTGTAATTTATTTTCTTACTACATCTAGCAATAACATCTTACTTGAACTAAAATCTGTTTTGACTCGTATGATAATGGAATAATAGTAGATTGGCTTTCTTGATTCTGAAAATCAGTTGGTTTTTTTTGGTACTCTTGAGTCTTTGCACAGCAGTTTTGTGCTCTGATTATACAGTTCTTCTGTTTTTTTAAGCTTAAATTAATTATAGATAGATCAATATGCCTTCTCAGACTTATATACCGACAAAGTATTAGGTTATGTAATTAATTATTTTTTCCTTCCATGGTGCCCAAATATGTCTCCAGATTGGAAGACGCACTTCCAATAAGGCAATATTAGTTTTATATAATGAGCATTATACAATGGTACAGTATATAAACACTGATAATAATGGAAAAACAGCAAAACAACTCCTTGTATCCCGTAATCTCAAAGGAATGCTAATGGAATTCAGAAAAGAATCCTCTGAGACAGATAAGATCTTCCTGGATAAACTGAAATTCTGATTTAAAAAATACACTTGACTCTGGAATCCGGTATGGTCTTATTTGGTTCTTTCTTGGTTAGTCTCGTTAGGTATGTTTCCTAATTATAATAGAAATTCCATCAGCATTCCTATTAGCAAAGAAAATGAAAACCATGTATGCAATTATTTTTGGAGATGCTTGCAATTGCACCTTGTTAGTATTGTGGATATTGCCAGAATTAGGGCGAATATATTATGCTATTTGTTTTAGCTTATTATTATGCTTGCCTAATTAAGGCTTCAAATTAAATCGAAGAAAGAGATTAGGGTGCCTTGTATTGTTTTTTTTTCTTTTCTTTTTTACATATATTACCTATAGTGTTCAGTATAGGACTAAAAAAGTTAGATTACAGGTTACTCAGAATGTGCGAAATAAATGCTTACTGGCTCGCAAACAGAAATCGCTTTTCAACCCTCTGAACGTCTGAATATTTTTTTAACTTAATATCGTGTTTAAATATATTTGCTTGTGTAACCATGTGGCAACTTACCATCCCAGGAGAAGTTTTCATCCCAGACTGACCAAATTTGCACGATGAAGAACGGAGCCCAGCACACAATGTACGCCAAAA